GCTTGGGCGTGGGGGGGGGGGGGGCCATTCAAACTGGGGCTCTAGCTACCTCTGGGGTGCCCCAGGCCCCATCGCCAGAGCATCCGGGCACCTCCACAATGAATTCTCCAGTGAGGCCAGGCAGGGTGATAAACAGATGGGGAAACCGAGGCACCGAGCGACGGGATGACCTGCCCAAGATCACAGCGGGGTGGCCCTGGTTTCCGAAGGCCCAGACAAGCCCTCAAACCGCGGGGGCATCCTCAGCTCAGCTGCCCACTTGCCCTTGGCACCCTCGAGATGCGACACCCGCAGTGTGGGGTGACGGTTCTGGAGTCGCAGGGCACTGCCTGGAAGGGGGTTAACTCAAGAGCTTTGCCAGCGTCCTCCCCTCAGCACAGCCGGCTCCCCCATGCCAGGCGCCGGGCGTGAGCTCTGGCCACAGCACCTCTGAGGAGATGGAGAGGGAGGGTCTGGGGCTGGCTCTGTCCCGTGGGGACCTAGAGCTGGGGGAATGTGGCAGGGAGCCTTGGCCTTTACCCTGAGCCAACCCGCTTCCCCGCCCCCAGGCACTGACCCGGAGGAATCCATCCTCAACGCTTTCAAACTCTTCGACCCCAACGGCACCGGCCACGTGAACAAAGATGAGTGAGTCAAAGCGCCCCAGGCCGGGGGGAGGGGGCAGCACCCCTGGGCCCAAAGGGACACGAGGGGTCCCTCCTCTTGGCTTTTGGGGGTTCTCAGGGGCAGACGGGCTTGGCCTGGTGCCTCGTGGGGAGCTGCGCGACCCCAGCTCTGACTCACCACGACGGGAACCGGGGGAAGGGGGCTGCAAATCAGGCTGGGCCCAGAGCGCCAGACTCCCAAGTGCCCTGTGATTGGCAGGGCCTGGGGCTGCGCTGGAGCCAAGCAGAGGCATGGCTGGGCCCCTGGAGGCCCCACTGCCCAATGGGGAAATGGCTGGGGGGAACAGGCTGTCTGATGGGGAGTGTGGAGAGCAGCTGTCCCGCCTGCACAGGGCTACATGGGGCCCAGCCACTGCGAGGCCAAAAGGGCCACTTCAGAAAACGGGGAGTTAAAGTCTCTGGGTGCGGTGGGAACGGCACCAAGCTCCCCCAAGCTCCCCCAGGCCCTGTCTCTCCGATCCTTCCAGCCCCTGCAAGCGTGACCCTCACACCTGCTGGGTGTGGGTCCCTGCCCCACAGAGTGGCACTCAGGCCACGTACCGAGTGTGCTCTGCGGTCCTAGCAGGGAGCCCGCTGGCTTTTCGCTCAAGCTGCAGAGGCTCAGGCCCTAGGTTCGGTTCTGCCTGTTGGTGTTGAACAAGCCCTTGAGGGCCACGGGCCCAGCCCCACGGCTCCGGCTCTCACTGTCTCCTGTTTCGTGTGCAGGTTTAAGCAGCTGCTGCTGACCCAGGCAGATAAGTTCACCCCGGAGGAGGTGAGACAGCCCCCCCCTCCCGTAGTCCCTGGAAATCCCCCTGCCTTGAACCCCTCAGTTGGCAGGAATTCCCCGCCCCCACTTGCCAGGCCCTTTCCTCTACCCCACACTTGCATGGCTCCCCGGGGCAGGGGTGTGTCACAGCTGTGCTAGGTGTGTGTGTGTTCACATGCCCCGGGCCGGTGTGTGTGTGTGTGTGTGTCACAGCTGTGCTAGGTGACTGTGTGTTCACATGCCTCGGGGCCGGTGTGTGTGTGTGTCACAGCTGTGCTAGGTGACTGTGTGTTCACATGCCTCGGGGCCGGTGTGTGTGTGTGTCACAGCTGTGCTAGGTGACTGTGTGTTCACATGCCTCGGGGCCGGTGTGTGTGTGTGTCACAGCTGTGCTAGGTGACTGTGTGTTCACATGCCTCGGGGCCGGTGTGTGTGTGTGTCACAGCTGTGCTAGGTGACTGTGTGTTCACATGCCTCGGGGCCGGTGTGTGTGTGTGTCACAGCTGTGCTAGGTGACTGTGTGTTCACATGCCTCGGGGCCGGTGTGTGTGTGTGTCACAGCTGTGCTAGGTGACTGTGTGTTCACATGCCTCGGGGCCGGTGTGTGTGTGTGTCACAGCTGTGCTAGGTGACTGTGTGTTCACATGCCTCGGGGCCGGTGTGTGTGTGTGTCACAGCTGTGCTAGGTGACTGTGTGTTCACATGCCTCGGGGCCGGTGTGTGTGTGTGTCACAGCTGTGCTAGGTGACTGTGTGTTCACATGCCTCGGGGCCGGTGTGTGTGTGTGTGTGTCACACCTGTGCTAGGTGAGTGTGTGTTCACATGCCCCGGGGCGGTGTGTGTGTGTCACACCTGTGCTAGGTGAGTGTGTGTTCACATGCCCCGGGGCGGTGTGTGTGTGTCACACCTGTGCTAGGTGAGTGTGTGTTCACATGCCCCGGGGCGGTGTGTGTGTGTCACACCTGTGCTAGGTGAGTGTGTGTTCACATGCCCCGGGGCCGGTGTGTGTGTGTGTGTGTGTCTCACAGCTGTGCTAGGTGTGTGTGTGTTCACATGCCCCGGGGTCTAGCTGGGTGAGTGGGTGCTCACATGCCCTGGGGCAGACCGGGGCCCCCCCCAGCCACTCAGCTCTTTGGTGCCCAGGCTCAGGCCTTCCACGTGGCCCCTCCCTCGGAAGTCGCTGAAATCGCTGCCCACGACTCCCCCATGTCTCTCCTGCCCAGGTGGAGCAGATGTTCGCGGTGACGCCCATCGACGTGGCGGGAAACGCTGGGTGAGTGGGTGCTCACATGCCCTGGGGCAGACCGGGGCCCCCCCCAGCCACTCAGCTCTTTGGTGCCCAGGCTCAGGCCTTCCACGTGGCCCCTCCCTCGGAAGTCGCTGAAATCGCTGCCCACGACTCCCCCATGTCTCTCCTGCCCAGGTGGAGCAGATGTTCGCGGTGACGCCCATCGACGTGGCGGGAAACATCGATTACAAATCCCTCTGTTACATCATCACCCACGGCGACGAGAAGGAGGACTGATGGGCGAGGGGGCCGGTCGCACGGGCCACATGCCTCGCGCCGTGGAAATAAAAGCCCCAGCCAATCAAACGAGACAGCCCCTTGTCTGCGAGCAGTGGGGGGCACAGAGCGGGGTTCCCGCTGTAACGGGGGGAGAGGGAGGGAAGCTCCGTCTGTGACCAGTGGGGAAGGAAGCAGGCCCCCCGGCCCTCCACCCCGTGGCCCGCATGGAGAGGGACGCTAAGGGCTTGATTCAATGGGCTGGGCACAGTTCACCGTTCCCTAAGCCCTGGGCGTGAAGCCGGGGGATCCTGGCACAAGGGCCAGTGGATGGGTGGGGCACAAAGGGGCTCTCATGGGCATGCAGACGGTGGTGCCCTCCCCACTGTGGACCCCCGTGGGGAGCAGCAGGCAGGCCCCGGGGCGGAGGACAGAGCCCTCAGGGTCTCTCTCGCATGGTGGAGGCAGGGGCATGGGGAATCCCCCCCGTGGCAAGCGTCGAACAAGCCGGCATTTAAAAATGGCGCCGGCCGGCTTATGCAAATGAAGCCCGGGAAATTCAAATCCCGGGCTTCATTTGCACGTTCGGTATGCATACATTACCCCGCTAGTTCGAACTAGCGGGGTAGTGTAGACATACCCTAATTGACCATTCATTATCAGTGGGAATAGGAATTCCCACTGATAATGAATTCACTCTCCATGCTGGAGCTCGTTTGCAACCCTGGGCATTTATGCTCAGGTGTACTACTCAGGTGTGCTGCCTGCCTCCCTTCTCTCCCTCCACGCTGGCCAGCCCTGGGAGCAGCAGGCGCTCAGCGCATGGGGGGGTCGCCACGGCTCTGCTCCGGGTGTGGTCGCTTTCCGCTCCCGCCCTCCCCGGTCCTGAGGTGTCTGCTCCTGAGCCCCCAGCTCCCTCTGCCTTCCCTGCACCCGGTCCCCTCCCCGCTCACGGGCTGAGCTGCCTGGATGGGGTGGGGAAGGAGCAGCAAGGGGCCGGGGCCCCACAGCCCCCACCAGGCTGT